TACGTCAGCATAATCATATGCTTTCGTTGCAGTACCTGCTTGGCAGAGCAGATTGACTGCTCCACATTTTGCACGGTAAACGAGGATGCCCCCACCCGAATAAGAGGAGAGTTTCACAGTTCGCCAGATTTAACCATCGTATCACCCGGCCTGATAAATGACGTGACTTGGCAACCCGTCATTTCTCTTGGCTCAGACCATCTCACGATAATCGTCTCCATCAGCAGATCGCCCGATTTCATAATTTCCAAACGCCGCACTTTCCTTAACCATGGGAAAACCCACTGGCCCGAGTTCAGAGAGTTCGCCAACCTTCGCTTCAGAGAACTGCCCAATCCTTCTGATGTTCGGGTAGCTGAAAGGATTTTCCGGGACATCATCAAAGCTGCAGCCGCACGGTATATACCTGCTGGTCGAATACCCGAAGTAAGACCAAATTTCCCAGCAGAGGCAGCGGGATTAGCGAATGAGCGTGATGAGCTCCGACGTTCCAACCCTACTGATCCCAGAGTCAGTGAACTGACAGTGGAAGTCAACCGGTTGGTACAAGAGCATAAGCGAAAAAAGTGACTAGACCATCTGAAGTGTTGCAACCTTGGAACCGATTTGAGTAAACTGTGGAACGGTAAAGTCACTCTCGAACCCTGGAAAAAAGGATGATAGGACAGCAGTCACATTTAACGACGTAACTGTCGGAAACCTTGTTGACCTCTTATAAAGCGATAGGTCGGTCTGTGGTTAGCTATGCGGCTCCAGTGTGGTCGGCGAATACAAGTGCAACGCAGTGGAAAAGTATTCAGACCTGCTAGAATGCCGCCCTGAGAACTGCAACAGGGTGCCTCCTCATGACTCCTGTGGACCATTTACATGAGGAGACGAAGGTTCTTCCCTTACGTCAGCATAATCATATGCTTTCGTTGCAGTACCTGCTTGGGTGTTATCGTGATGGATAGAACTCCCCCACCCAGGCGTGTCAGGAAGGACCTGCACGATCTAGAGGGAGAGATCCAGCGATATAAGAGAGAGCCCCTATATCATGAAGCCTATCAAGCGGGTCTGAATAGCATTCATACTGATGCAGTCGCAGAGGTAGTTTATAATTACAGTATGAATGCCATACTCGGAGTCCACCCCCCATCAGGCAAACCAAGGTAGTTTTGGCCCAACTACGTTCAGGATGGTGCAGCCGTCTCAATCGTATTGGGCACGAATTGATGAGGATGTGCGGAACGCCTGCGATACAGGACCGCACAACACGCTGCACTTGTTTAATTGTCCAGCCAAACCTACCCAACTCCGTCCAGAGGATCTATGGCTACAGCCCATAAAGGTAGCAGAATTCCTAAACCTGGACATTGAGGAAGAACCGGATTAGTCGGAAAAAACAACGCAACATGTAAAACTGCTACAACAACAACAACAAATATATTCAATCCCACGGCGCACAGTGGGGTGAGATGCCCAAAAACGGTGATTAATTCAGGAAAGCATTTTATCGCTCTGAAATTTTGCTCAGACATTCATATTACCTCTTATATGTTTGACATTAATTTGGGACATATCGGCCCACGTTTCGGTAAGGCCCCCATATAGCGTTACTTCCTGATTTTTGGTATTTTGAAGGTTTCGGCCTTGACATTTTGAGTTCTGAGCGGACAAAATCTCTCCCTGCTAAATTTTGTGAAGGGATACTATTAAGTATTGACCGTATATAGCGGCACTTCCAAATTTTATGTATTTTGGGAATTTGTCTCTGCAAAATATATAATGGTACTTCCTAATATTAATTATTTTGAGGGTTTCAGAAAGAGCTTTTTACAAGCCTATTATTTGGTATTTTGTTTCCCAATGGATGGATGGAAATATTACAAAAATTGCCTATATAAATCCAAAATTTGAGTTAAGCCAAAAAATTATTTATCCTTTGTAAAACCTTCTTAATCCGAAGACAAAAATTCTACATATTTTTATGAAGAAAGGAATAATTATAAAAAAATATATACAAAATTGGCTGGCAATTAAGCCTTCCTATCTGAAATATACTAAAACCTTATAATATATTTAGAAAAAAAAATATATGTGACTGACATTTAAAAAATCATCCTTATCATCCTCTCTTACATCTCTCTTATTGTCTTAAATTGGATCATCAGTCAAAATTGAGGGTGAAATAAGAAAAGGAGACTGAAATACTTTTATGTATAGTTTAATATAGTTTAGAATTCCAGTTAATAACAGGATAGAAACCCAATAGAAACTTCTTTAGACAGACCAACAAAAAAAAAAACGAATAAAACAGAGAACAAGATCAAGGTACATTCACCGCAAAATCAGTTGCGGTGAATGTACCTTGATTAAGCAAAAACGGCAAAAAGGGCACGAGTTTTTTGTTGATTATGAAAGATGACATTCCATACTAAAATACAAAATTAAAAATTTAAGACCTTCTCGATATTATTTTTTAAAACTCCACATACTTTTCGGATTATTTTTAAAACTTTTTTATTCTAAAACACTAACCACCACCAATAACCACCTGTATTCGATGTTTCAATTTTAAAATAATAATTTTTGATGAAAAAAAAACTAAATTATTGCAATTCAAAAAAACCAAAGACAAATTATTTCCTTCTTCTTGCGAAAAAGTGAAATATTTCTTAACTTTGCCACTGTGTAATTAAAAAAACTAAACAACGTATGACTTTGAAATTATCGGTACTGAAGTAGAATTTAGTGTTCTATAATAGTTTAAAAACATTTATTCCAAAAGACGAATTTTATTTTTCAATTAATCTCCGTGTTTTGTGATTTCACCCCTCTGTGCGGCGGCCGGTTCTATGTACCGGATTGACTCGGAGGTACAAATCTCCGACCAGGGGCCGCCATCCCAGCAAATACATGTTCGTGTTCGTCCATTTTTCTTATGTGGGAGCAACATTACGCGGAATGTTTGCTCCGTATTCTCTTGGTCCGAGGAGGGATAGAGACCAACCCCGGTTCATGGTTCTGCTCCGCACAGATCGGTCTCGGTGAGATGCAACGGATTTATGGAATGGGTGCATTTCCGGAATTGTTCCGGCCTAAATCGGATGCAGGAGTACAGCGATAGGGACTACATTGCTTCCTGCTGCGTCAATGTAGACCCCAGTGAGTCTTCATCTTCGGCGTCCTCATCATTGTCGCAGTATGAGACTCCCCCGCAATCTCCTTAACAGCAATTTATGCAGCAGTTGACGCCATACATTACTGTTCAAGTTCCGGATAATGCGTCATTTCTCAAATTCAATTGTGATGATCTCCGAGGTAGATTAACGAAACTGTAAGCTTCATGAGAAAGAACATCAAGGTCGCAGCGATTACCACCTGCAGGCTTCAAAGTTGTGATGGATACAGCGTACTGAGGAAGGATCGCTCCAGGGGTGGAGGATTAGCGTTCCTATTGCACCACTCTGTCAAGTAAAGACCTATCTCGCCTGAGCCTGACTCTAGTGGCACGTACAAGGAATGTATGGGCTTAGCGGTCAAGTGTGGAACCGTCGAGGTAGAGGTGCTCAACTTGTACATTCCGCCGTTAAATAGCTGTGCCCCATGTTATATGCCTAATATCAGTTCACTTCTGGTAGGCAATAACCGTCTGGTGCCAGGGGATTTCAATGCCCATCATGAATTATAGCATTCCGTCCTAGGTAATCACCAGAGAGGCATGGCGCTGGATGAGCAAATTGATAGCTCCACGTTTTGCACAGTGAATGAGGACGCGTCCACCAGAATAAGGGAGACTGCCACAGTTCACCGGACATATCCATCGTGTCCCCTGTCTGACGAATGACGTAACTTGGCAATTTTCTCTTTCATTTCTCTAGGCTCAGACCAACTCCCCATTATTGTCGCCATCAACAGACCATCGGACTTCATAGACTCTGAACGCCGCACATCAATACGGATTCCGGAAATTGAACAGCACAACAACAGCTTTACATGCCATGTCCACACATGTTAGCAGAGGTCTCAACCGGAACAGGTCGTGCGATATGGTGGGACTTGATTTATCAAAAGACGTTGATACAGTCAATCATGCCACACTGTTCGAGCACATTGAGCGCACCGCCTTCCGGCCAAGTTTGAAACATTGGGTAGTAAACTACATGTGTGGACGCCAGTCGTACGTGAATTCAGAAACAAGAAGTCGAGCATACCTAGAGATAAATAGGGAGTTCCCCAAGGTGGGGTAATATCTCCGGAACTGTTTAACCTCTACCTTTCTGACATTCCACGTCCTCCATACGGCATGGAGAATATAACGTACGCAGATGATTGTGACGCAGATGACATTTGCGATCGGTTAAACGCTTACCTTGTTGATCTTATCGTCTTTTTCACTGCGAGGAATATGAAGATATCCGCCACTAAATCGACGGCCACACTTCACCACATGGACTGTAATTCCGACCACCGATTACCCCAAGGTCTTAGGGGTCACATTCGATAGCCTCTTTAAGTCGGTCGCGCATACCACAGCTATCTGCGACAAGATTGGTAGTAGGAACAAGAACCTCAAGTCTCTGGACGGCAGTACTTGGGTAGCTGATAAGGAAACCTTGTTGACCTCTTGCAACGCGATAGGACGGTCTGTGGTAAAATATGCGGCTCCGTTGTGGTCCGCCAACATCAGTGCTACGCAGTGCAAAAATCGTCATAACATGTGTCATACAAAAATGTTCTACCAAAAAATAACAACAATAATGAAACAATTCTCAACGAAAGAGACACACACGTAATGAAGGCAAAGCGCAATCGCTACCTATTTTTCCGACATATGAAAAAATAAATTTTTGTAAAAAAGTATTTCAGGTACTTCTAATTAGTGTACACACATTTTTCACATTTCGTGGTTATTGACGAAACAATCCAAAATGTCAACCCTAATTAAAAAAAAAACAATCCCCTGACAAATTTTCTGTATAAAAATAGGGTTGGTTTTTCTTATTTTGATTATAATTTCATACATTTTTGCCTCCGGTACTGAGGTGTAAATGAAAATGAATGCTACTTTAATTCACGTAAACGTATATACTTCAATTGTTTTATTCTGTGCATATTCTGTTATCTAGTGAGAGTCATATCTCTGCCCACATACTTTATTTTTAAAAGAAAACAATATGTAGGTAGAAAATAGGCAAACAATATTTACCTATTATTTTATGACCAAAAATTTATGCTAGACATCAATAAATTCGGATTGTCCAGTATATTTTCCATTTTTTCTATTTGTTTGTGGATTTTTTTGCTTTTTTTGTTACTGAATGAGAGTCATCAAATCATTTTTCATAATTGGTTTGGTACTCAATCTGCAATACACAAGTTCCACAGAAAAAAATCGTAAAATATCTCGGAATGCACCTGGACCGAAGACTTCCCAGCTAGCATTTGGGAGATTGTTTTTGAAGTAATCATTTTGGTGAGTCTTCTTCGTGTCCTTTTGGACACGAACTCACTTGTATAACCGAAAATGACTCTCTATATTGAGTAAAAAGAGATCAATTTAATATACAACAACAAAATGTATGGAAATCGAAAATCAATCATTAAAATGTGCAAAATGTGACTATTTGTTGCGTTATTTATTATCGTATTGCGATCATGTAGAGATTGAAAAATGATTAGTCTTAGGAAGATCATACAGCTGTTTGAAAAATGATCATAATTATGTATTTTTTATCATATTTTGAACAGATAAGTAGATTAAATTCTGCTTGTTTTGCTATACATAACGAGACATGTTCTTGCGTTTCTGGAGCTGACTTTTCTGGAGCTCATTTATAAATAGTGCGTAGAGCTGTAAACATTAAAAGTGTAAAATATTGAAAAGTGAAATAAAATATATTTAAAAAGTTTAAGTAAATTTGATTTTTTATAAAGAAAATGTCAGCAAATCAAATTAAAACATGGAAAAGGCTCAAATAAAAACGGATGGCAAAAATGGTGCAGAAAATTTTTATTTCGAAAAAAGAAATTAAACTGAAAACGAGAATAATGAAGATTATGTTCAGAGACGTGAAAAGAGTTTTGAAGAGCGTGTTGATACAATTTCAAATTTTGCATTCCTTCGATGATTGATTATTATCATTGATTATCTAACTAACTAGCTAACTATTTAAATAACTACTTAACAAACTAATAATAAATACTTATATAGTTTTCTAATAACCTAGTTCCAGAAAGAGTTTATTGCCAAAACCGGCGGTGAAGGATCCGCACAATTCCCTCGGGCTCCAGTTCGAAAAAATTGTTTTATATAATTTAGCCTACCAATACAGCTGGATAGGGACCAATGTAAAGCCGATTGCAGAAAAGTCCTTTTTAGTGACGATAATTCAAAGTAAGTTTATATTTTTAAAACGAATATAAGGAATTAGTAAAATGGGCAAACGCTTAAATATTTTATTTCAGATATTTGTAATCTTAAATACAAGAGCAACGACAAGGATGCGTATACAATCCTTCAAAAACGTTTTGTTCACGTTAAAGAGCGGGTGATGAAAAAAAACGTTCGGATTAGATTTCCGGATTTTTTATTTTGTAATTTTTAATTTTTTTGCTATAATTTTTTTTACCAAGAAAATTTTTTTACCTAGAAAAAATGGCATTTATTGAAATTAAAAATGTTGTTTATATTACACATGAAAATGAACATGGAAAATACTAGTACACATTATAGTTATAAAAGCTGAATTAATTTTATTTTAAATAAACGTTTATACAAACATATATGAACATACTTTTTTCTCACATCGCATCCGAATATTTAGAAATCACGTACGAGATTCGTAAAATCGTAAACACTCATATAAGTCTCTTAAATGACTCGAATATAAGACAAAGGTGATTTAAAAAATCTCCTAAATGAAAATACATATGAGTGATAAATGACACTTAAAAGACTAATAAACTACTCACTAAGCACTCATAAATGATGAAAAAATGACTTGAAACAGACTCGCAAGATTCAAAAATTAAGGGTATAAGCGCAATAAATAATTAGAAAACGATTCCAAAAAGACCATTTGGTCGTAAGGTGTACAGCTCTGGGGCACAGCTAGTGCTTCTAACTTAAGTAAACTACAAAGAAGACAGACGAACATTCTTCGACCTTGGTACATAAGAAACTCAAATATCCACAAGGACTTCAACGTACCTACTGTTGAAGAAGAAATAAAGAAGCTTTGCCGAAAGTACTTGAGCAAACTATCAGTGCACCGAAATAGTTTGGCCCAATTCCTATTATTCGGAGGATACGTTAAACGTGACACTCTTTCCATCATATAGTTTATATTTCTCCTATTTTTTTATTATTTTCACCTCTTTCCTGGACAAGTGAATGTTTTTCATCGTCGATTGTTATGCTGCAACAGGTAGTCTTGCTCTCGGGGATATATTAGGAATTCGAAGCCGAAATAGAAGAAGATAATATACATTGTCAGTTGCATTGAGCTTATCATGCAGACAGCTATTGGACTGTTATCCTGAAAACCTCAATTCTACCTTTATATAACACAGATGGTTAAAATTAAAATACGGGTTATAACCAAGTACTACATATTGTTATACCCTACAACACTATGTGTTGGGGGTATTATAAGTTTGATTGGGCCAGAATTTATGTAACACCTCGAAATATTGGTTTCCCATATAGGAAAGTATATATGAATCTTTCTAGCTCGCCGAGCTGAGTCGATCTAGCTATGTATGTCCGTCCGTCCGTCTGTCCGTCTGTCCATGTTAATTTGTATTCACTCTACAGGTCGCAATTATGGCCCGATCTTCACGAAATTTAAAATGTAGGTGGGGTTAAGGTCAGAATAGAACCCTATTTCTTTTGGAGATGATCGCCAAATGTTTAGGGGTTGAAATGGACCAAATACTGAAAAAATGTCGGATTTTGCAGTAGCTATACAGGTCGCAATTATAGACCAATCGACGCGGTATTTCGCATGTAGCTAGAGTTTAGGGCGGGGAAGAAGCCTACCAATTTGGGTGGTCATCGGATAATATTTAGCGGCTAAAATAGACCATATCTTTTTTGTTGAAAAAATGCAAAATTTTTCATTAAACCGCGAATATTTTAAATCCCGGCGAAATCACAAAGCCATGACAAGGTTACTTCTGATCTTTACATTGATGTTAAGATCCAACAAATCGAATATATAGCAAAATATGTGCGATATATATGTCTATCAAAGAAGATATGCTTGGAAGATCTATTTTATGTCGAGAAGGGCTGAACTGATTTCGACAGTTCTCATTAATTCAGAATGGCCTCTTCGCAAAAAAAAACGCCTAAAAAATCGCATAAAAATATCTCTCCTTAGATGAAAATATTGATTTTTTAAATTTTCTTATATTTTTTTAATTTTGTCATATTTTTGGCATATTTTCATTTTGAATTAAACATTTGGTAATATTTCTACAGCTAACAAAACTAAGTAGTTAGGATATCAGGATATAATATACAGATCGCATTTATGGCCCGATCCCTACGAAATTTTGCATGGGGATAAGATGAGGGGCAGAATAGAAGCCTACTCTTTTTGGAGATGATCGCCATATATTTAGAGGTTGAAATGGACCAAAAAACTCAATATGTGAAATAGTTTGCCAATTTTTGTAGACAAAATACGAAAATGTCCATTCCAGTGACTTTTTGGAGAATTCACAAATACAGGAAAGATGCACTTCTGACTATTTCGTTAACGCTGATTTCGTTGAAGAATATAGTCAAATGGCTGTATCTCATATAGATGTGTTTCAGTCACAAACCAATAATAAATGTTAATCTTTTGCCACTTCTGAGAGATTATGGGTCTTTGGGAAATATTGGTTCCAGATCTAGGAAGACCATTTACGTGCAACATCTACCAATAAATTGAAAATGAGCAAATTAGTTTAAGTTGCTATTATTCGAAAATTAGAGAACGAAACCTGATGGTTTTCTTTTATTATTTGTCACAATATCTTGTGGAATTCTTTCGAGTATCTCGCCTATATAAACTGTATCGTTTATTGTAGTGTTGTAGGGTATTCAACGGTCGGCCCCGCTCGACTGTAGCCTTTGCTTACTTGTTCTGGTATATAATTAAAAGAAATCATAGATATTAAAACCCCATCACCTTTGAGCAACAGTGAGGGGAAGTTGTGAATAGGTGTGTCAAAAGAAAAATGCGAAAACTCGGCAAATTTCAGATAATTACGGAAATCATTATAAAAAACGGATTGCGTGTATTTTGGCTGAATAAGTTAACTCACAAATATTTCATGGTTTTTCGACGTTGACTTAGACTGTGAGAAATTTTACATGTTCCTTTTTTATTGTCAATACATATTTAGTAATTTTGATATTTTTCTTGCTAGTAATTGTGTTATTTTTCTTGCCTGTGTTTATCACATTCTAAGCATTAAAATTCAAAGTGATAATTAAAAATTCAAAATTTTGTGAGCAAATTTGTTTTGTGTAAAATTGAGATTATACAATTGGGTTGCACACATTCATATTCATTCCGTATGTTTTTCAATATGAAGAGAATAATCTTTTAAATAGGATTAAGTTACTTGTTTTTTAGGAATGTCCCTGATTCTTAAATGAAAGAGGGACGTGCAGAAAGAATTGAATTGAGACGTGCTCTAACCTCCGCGAGGGAAAAGTTGAATGTACTTCATTGCGATTCCATAAACATTTTACTATCAAAAATAACTTCAATATCTCACAAGTATCACTATGAAAAAAATATAAGGGTAGACAAAGTTTGCCGTGTCACAAATATGTTTGGAACTATAAGATATATCACACATATGATACCATTTTGGAAAGGCAAGAATATATATATATATATTAATATATATTAATATATATTAATATATATATTCTTGCCTTTCCAAAATGGTATCATATATATATCTTATAGTTCCAAACAGATTTGTGATGCAAATCAATATATATATTGATTTGCCGAAGGCCGTCCACGCAAAAAGGTTAGATACATATTAGTGGAGAAAATCTCAATTTCAGGATTTGTAGATAACAGTTTTGTAGAACCGGATATTCTATTCGAACTTTCGGGTCAAATAGCCGGGTAATCGGGTATTTCCCTCACGAAAAAAATACTTTTCCTTAATCAGGTTAAAAATACCCACCTGGGGTTGGTTTCTTGTTCTATGGAAATATGAGATGAAAAATATTTCCTTTATAACATTTTTCATTTGATTTTTCTTTCCTTTATAAAAATTTTCATTTTACATTTTCATAGAACAAAAATTGAGGACCCGCGGTAACAATTTCAGAATGATCCGAGCATAGCCCCTGAACTCAACTTTCTTCTATGAAGAAATTAAATACCAAATACGTAATTTACCTCTAAAATATTAATTCGTATCTCCGCTACTGTGACTTTTCCACCAGATCCATTTAAAGTGTCAAATAATCCTTGTAGCATTTCAGCAATTATGTCTGCATTCAAACATTTGGATGCAAATTTATTGACCGTTTCAGCAGCTTCTTTCCTTGTTGTTTCATCTTTGGAGCATAAATTAGGGATTATTACATTTGTTAGTTTCAGGGCATATGGACTGAAGTCAAAGTTTATTTCTTGTATTATAAGGCCAACAGCTTGAATTACAACTTCTGGATTTCTTAAAACGGCTCTCTGCATGTGTGGAAGTAATTTAGTTTCAAATTCGCTTTTTGAAATTGTATTAAGGAGAAGGCCAGAGTGCAAAACAATAGCAGAAAAAGGTTTCTTCTTTGCGGCAATAATTGCTTTCACGAAAATAGCAATTAAATCATCTTTATATGTGGCCAAATCTTTCTTATAGTTTAGTAGTGTCAAAAGCAATACTAACGATTGACTTGAGGGTTCCTTTTTCAAAAGCAAATCTTTATATGAATTGTAAATATTATCCGTATTATCTTCACAAAATATTTCCAAAATAATATCATCGGCCGCCCGCTTCATTTTAGCACAAGATGCTAGCAACACTATCTGATATAAATGTGATTGATAGTCAACAAGTCGAGGTAACTCGTCTTTGAATATTTTGGAATCATTATCACAGTGTTTGTTCAATAGAATCGTCCATTCTAGAGCAATCAATGCCGCTCTTGAAGCCTTAGAAGGTGGCGCATTGGCTAGTTCTTTCAGAGCAAGTACCTTAAATACCATCATCAGTCCCTCAGTAGCGGCGTCGTGTTGATGATTTATCATTGCGACAAAAAAACGTTTAACAAGTTCCTTTGACTTTTCATCTTTAAACTTTGTTAATGTTATAACCATCAATTTGCATAGATTACGTATCTCTGCACATTCAATATCTGAAAGAACAAGATATTAAAAAGACAAATTTTCAAGCAAACGCACGTACCAGAATGTAAAATTGCATCAGTTAAATCTGCAAAGAGGAAGGCCCTTTCATCCTGTGACGCATTCAACGCTCGGTTGGCAAGTTCACGCAAAGAGTTTAATCTCTGTAACAGAAATAAATTAGAATTTTGCATATTACAATAAAAACCCTACGCACATCTTCTCCAGTCATATTTCTAATATAACCTATTAATTGGGGCGCCCTTAAATATAAACGTGTGCAAAATGAGTTTTATGAACACAGCGCAAAACATCAACACGACCTCCGTTACGCCGTTGCAAATTATATTCATTATGTCTAATAAACAGAGTCCCAAGTCGTACGGAATCCCAATATATGCATGGTAGAAGAATATAGATAGACGCATCGACACAGCTGCTTGGACAATGAACTGTCAAACCAATTTTGAAATTGAAAATGTTGAATGAAAAGTTATTTAAATTTGTAAAAATTGTTGAAAAATGCGGATTATAATAACCTCCGAATGACCTCGTATAAGAAAACATATAAAAATCTACTTATATTTTGAAAACATTTACAATTTTTATACCCTCCACCAAAAAAGGTATGGAGGGTATATTAAGTTCGTCATTCCGTTTGTAACTCATCGAAATAATCATTTTAGACCCAACAAGGTATATATATTCTTGATCAGCGTAAAATTCTAAGACGATTTAGCCATGTCCGTCCGTCTGTTGTAATCACGCTACAGTCTAAACGAATTAAGATAGGAAGCTAAAATTTTGCACAGATCTCTCTTTTGTCTGCAAGGCAGGTCAAGTTCGAAGATGGGCTATATCGGTCCACAATATCGTATAGCCCCCATATAACGGTACTCCCCTATATTCGGTATTTTGATGATTTTAGCCACTTTTTCCGATGGAATTATCTGAAAATCCATACAAGGAGTTCCTTGTGAGTACTTTACACGCAGACATAGATTTGTCTTTATGTGGAAATTGTCTTTGATATTTTTGTCTAAACAATGGTAAAAGAATATAGGTGATGCATCAATGCATGAAAACATTGATATGTCAAAATTTTTAAAATAAGAATACAGGTAGACGCATCGCATAGCTTCTGGGACAATGAACTGTCAAACCAAATTTTAAATTGAAAATTTTAAATGAAAAGTTATTCAAATTTCCAAAAGTTGTTGAAAAATACATATTAACAACCTACGATTTGTGTCGTATAAGACATTTTATAAAATGTACTTATTTTTGAAAAAAAAAAAAAAAAAAACATTTAAAAAACTTTACATATCTACAAAGCAGTAGAGTTTTTATACCATGGTAGAAGAATATAGGTAGATGCATAAATGCTGGGGAACATTGATATGTCAAAATTGTTCAAATGTTATTTTTTTTAAATAAGTACATTTTATAAGTTTTCTTATACGGCACCAATCGGAGGTTGTTATGATATGCATTTTCAACAATTTTTACAAATACCAACAATTTTTCATTCAACATTTATAATTTCAAAGTCTATCAGTTCATTGTCCCAGCAACTGCGTCGATGCGTCTACCTGTATTTTTCTACCATGTGCTATACATACAAAAAATTGACAGCAAACGTATTCGCCACAAAATTCTTCTGTCATCATTAATTTTGACATTTCATCTAGTAAAATAACAGCTGTTTTTAGATTAATTCGCTCGAAGGAAGACCTTATAATTGGGCCATGGTCTAAACCTTGCGCGAAAGAAACGCGATACATGATGTTCTTACTATGACGGTTCATTAAAGACAAAGTAAAATATATAAAACTAAGTTTGCAGGAATTCATTTGTGTGTGTTAGTGTGCTAATTTAAAACAGTGTTGTATTTTTCAACGAATAATAATTACATTTCCATATTGTTACATAAGTTGTGTTCCATTACTTTTTAGTAGTAAAACTAGCAGAAGAGACAACAGTACGAAATGCCACTATCATTTAGGTGTGCTCAAAAAATAAGGGAACGGAAAATTAGCAGAAATGCGATAAAATGTCAACATTCAAAATTCCAAAGAAAACAGTCTAAATCGGACTGGAGAAACCTTACTGAGATGGACGCCAAAATTTAAAAAAATTAGTATTGAAAATAAGTTAAAATTAATAATTATTTTTGAATGCTGTTTTTTTTTATAAAGTTTTGTTTTCAGAATGCGCTGAAGAGTATTTAGAGGTGGAGTTTTCTCAAATCCCAAACCCGGAGAAGCTGACATGGTTGGAGGCGCTGGTTAAATTAATGTTAAGTGTGCTAGTGACTTAATGCCACAGGATGGGAAGACAGCCAACCTAAAAAATAAAAATAAAATGTTTGCAGTAATAAGCAAACATTTTTGATTTTATGCTTAATTTTTCAATTTTCCTTTCACTAATTTTGCACTGTTTTCCAATACGTTTTCTTCGTCTGATTCCTCATTCAGCCAGTCCTCTTCATACCTAGAATCATCCAAAAGTGAATACATCAGTTGCTCCATATTTTCTCTTTTTGTTTTTTTTTTTTTTTTCACGACAAATATTAGTTTTTCTTTAGTTTTTAAGTTTTCTTCTTTTCCTTTGTTGTCACGCGCGAACTTTGAAATGTATCAATACATTTTTCAACCTTGTTAGCCCTGCCAGTTAAATGTCAAATTTACAATTTGGACATTTCTGCTCGGCCAAATTCATGTAGCTAAAACAAGCAGAAATGTGCACCACTCAGCGCCATTTTTTTTCTCGAGAGAGCTACAAGTTTTGCTAGTTTTTGGAGTACAGGAACGCGTTGTAACAGAATTAGCACTAATGAAGTTGAAGCTGGTTTACATTCTTCCATTCGGCGACTTCTCAGTAGCTCCTTTATTAACTGAGACTGATCTATTGCTATAGCACCAATATCACCTTCTCGCTCTATACGTGCACCCAAAAAATGTTCTAAAGGTCCCTTAGCCACACATTCGAAATTGTCACAGATATATTCTTTAATTGCGTTCATGGTCTCCATATCAGGACTGCCGATGATAAGGTCGTCTACATAGACTGCTATCAAGCACAATTTATCTCTAGTGACCTTCTTATATAGACACGAATCATTAACACATGAGGTAAACCCAAACTTCTTTAATACTTCATCCGGCTTCGAATTTCAAGCACGTCCCGACTGCTTCAATCCATAAATTGCCTTGTGCAATTTCAACACTCGATCTGGATACTATTTACTTATAATTATCTCAGGTTTCTTCATATATACTTACTTCCTCTGTCTGATGCAAATACATTTTCTTTTCTACCGCCAATGCTAGCACCATTCTTATTGTCTCGTACCTTATTACCGGAGAAAAAGTTTCGGTATAATCTAAACCGTACTTCTGGCTACATCCTTTAGTCACTAATCGGGACTTGAACTTTTCAATTTCTCCGCTCTTATCTTCACGCTAAACACCCATTTGCACCCTATGCGGTTCTTATGGACTGGCTTTTCAACTAATGACCACATCCTATTACTCAGAAGTGCGTCATATTCACTTTTCTTAGATTACTTCTATTCCTTGGAGTATTCACAATTTAACGCCTTCCTCGCAGATTATGGAATGGTAATAGAATTTTTTTCCACTTTCTCAAGCAGAATTCTAGGCCTTTCATTTAGCATAGCGTGATGCAGCTTTTCCACATCTTTGGCTTCGGACTCATCGAAACCCAGTAAGTCCTCTTCCTCGCTTGACACACTGTCTTCCATAGATTGCCTGTCCTCTTGTGGATACACCAGCAAGTCTACACTATCGGCTAATCTCCCTTTTTCCATTTCTTGGGAATTCTTTTTCGACAAGCCCTTGTCCATAAACATGACATCAGGTTTCTTTACAACAGCACGCTTTTCTTGATCATAAATTCTATATGCTTTTGCCAGTAGCCGAGTAGCCTTCCATTAAATACATTTTTCCTTTAGCGGCAAATTTCTTATGACGTGTTTTATCTAAACAACAACTGCCTCACCAAACACTCGAAGATGTTTTACATTTGGTTTCTTACCAGTACATGCTTCATATGGTGTCACTTTCTCTAGTGGTCTGGTTGGCCATCTGTTCCTAACATATACCGCCGTAGCTACTGCTTCTGCTCACAAAGCATTTTCCAAACCGGATTGCAACAACATTGCTCTTGACATTTCCACGATTGTCCTATTGGCTCTCTCGGCCACACCATTCTGCTGTGGGGTGGATGTATGGTACCGTCAACTCACGCACGATACCATTCATTTCTAAAAACGAATTAAAGTCTTTGTTTACAAATTCGCGCCCGTTATCACTTTTTAAGATTTTTATTCTTTTTCCCGTTGGGCACTCACCCATTTCCATACATACTTTAAACTTACTGAGAGCTTTGTCCTTACTCTTTAAGAAATGCACAAATATGCGTCTCGATTTATCGTCAATAAATGTTAGAAAATATCTTGAACCGCCCAATGAGTCCGAATCGAATGGACCACATACGTCTGTATGTATTCTTTCAAGTATATTTTTCATACGCGTTTCACTGCTCTCAAATGGCTTTACACATATTTTGACTTTCATACAAATTTTACACGTAATATCACCATTTAATTTTGTGCCAGCTGTTTTAAGTTCTGAAAGTTTAAATGACCAAATCTCTCATCCCACATAACCGCATTTTCATTATTTACTCGGGGAAAACATTTTTCTTTTTCACAGTTTACAATATACAAGCTCTGTTCTTTCTTTGCTTCAAACATCACCGTTTTTGTCCTTTATTTTGGCTCCCGAATTATCAAACACTACGTCGTAACCGTGTTCGCATCATTTGTTTACCGACACAAAATTCGCATTAATCGACGGGACGTACAACACTTTGTCCAAAATTAACGCACATTTGCAAATTTTTAGCTTCACTCTGCCTTTACCCGCTTCTGTCAAAAACTACTCTCCTGCCAAGTACACATTCTCCTTATGCTCTTTCAAATCCAAACAACAACACATATGCGCTGTCGCGCCACTGTCTAAACACCAATCCGCTTTACTGAGAACGTTGACGGCTGCTGCCGCCGAGACTGTACGATTGCCCTCCGCTTTGTTATTGTTCTCTTTGTTGCTGTTGCAATTTGCAGCGTAATGATCGCGACGTCCACAACAAAAACATTTGAAGTTTTTTGCTTTTGATGTCTTCGTCGATCTTGCACCATTATTCGTAGAATTAAATTTTTTCGATTTTAACATGTATGCTTGTGCGTCACAGCTGTTTTCTGCTATTTTGGAACTTTCTTTCTCCTTCTTCTAACAGCTCTACCTTCAAAACATCAAATGGTGGTAGGGAATCTCGG